AATCATACACATAAATAAACAAAAATTTCCTGTTTCTCCATCCCTTTAAAAAGCTAAGCGCATACTAACACCAAATCATCGCTAAAAAACCATTTTCAGTCAAGGGTCAGTGAATCGAAGATGAACGATACTTGTATTAATATCTTGTAAAAATCGTTTTTTTTCTATATTTTTTAATCCATTTTCCATATTGAGTAAGAAACTATTATTAAAATTGCCTAATGCTTTTCTTAGATTTGATAATTGAACTAAGAAATCTTTATCCAAACCAAAAAACATCATTTCTTCATTTCGATTATTTAAATAATTCAAAACTAATTTTAAATTTTTCAATAAATTATTCCTCATTTTTTTATCCATTTTATCTAAAAACTTTTCTATGGTTATTATTTCGATTTGTTTAATAAAATCAACGAAAATTTTATTCAATTCGAAATCATTTAAATCATCATTAATAACCTTCATCTTTTCAATATTTTCATTTATTTGATTGATGTCGATCTCGAAACTATAATGAATTCCTCTGTAAAATCGTTCGGTTTGGTTTAAATTAAATTTCGTTTGAGACATATTTTTAAATACATTTTCCATTGATTTGAATGATTCTATTAAGATAGAATATGGATTAAACTGTTTGATCTTTTGTAATTCAAAACGTCTTTCAAATTCAGATAAAACTTGTTCATCTTTTTGAGTACGATATTTACTAATTAAATCGGTTATGTTGTTTTGAAAATTAGTTTGTGTTAGATCGAATTTGATTAACAACAAAACAATATGTTCTACTGATTGATCATCTTTTATTTCACTAAGAGCATCATACCATACTTGAAAATATAACAAGTTTTCGTTCTTTTGATCATAATCCGTTAATTTTCGAACAAAAGGTGTAATACGCATAATGCTGTTGACAAGCTCACTCAAAATAAAACCCTTGTGATAAGATAACATGCAGACTTTTTATGAAGAGAAATAATAGTGTCGATTAGCTTGTTATACTATTCATATATAATGCGTTCAAACGTCTCTTCC